AGCCTGGCACCAGCATGGCCACAGGTCGTCTTGTCCCCAGGTCCAGCCACTGCCACCTGAACATGTTGAGTGATTTCCTAGACAAGGAGGAAGATGGTGGGCTCATCTGTCACTTTTCAATCACAGGCTCTGCAGTGGGAGCTGTATGGCACATGCCTGCAATCCCAGCATTCTACTCAGGAGGTGGAGGCAACCTGGCAGCTTCTGCAGGCAATCAGGAAGGAGCTGAGCTGCAAGGGGGTTCTCACCAGGCCTCGAGCTTTGGTGATGGTCTTGGGGCAAATGATATCTGCAACATTTCATCTTTCATCCATGCCAACTTTAGAAGGGAAGCTTGCCTCTCTCCTCCTCCCCAGTTCACTCTGGCTTCAAACTTGCAGCCCTCCTGACTCTGGAATACCAACAAATCTCAATCTCCATGTCTTTGCCGTCCGTGTCCCTCCCCACCTCCTCCTGCCTCAACCCCTCAACTCATGGTATGTGTGTGCACTCGTGCATATGTAAACTATAGGGCCACATCAGGCGGCTGTCCCACAGGGTTGGCTTCTCTTGGCAGCTTGCCCCAGGGATCCCATGTCTTCACTTCTTTTTTTAAAATATATATTTATTCATATATTTTATGTAATTTGCATGTACGCCTGCATGACAGAAGAGAGCATCAGAGAGAACAGGGCGCCAGATCTCATTACAGATGGTTGTGAGCCACCATGTGGTTGCTAGGAATTGAACTCAGGACCTCTGGAAGAGCAGCCAGTGCCCTTAACCTCTGAGCCATCTCTTCAGCCCGCTCACTTCTGAGCACTAGGGTTACAGGAGGGTAGTCACACCCACCCAGCTTCTACATGGACTCAGACCTGCAGTCTTACACTTGGGCAGTAAGTGATCTGCCTGCTGAGCCACCTCCCTAGCTCTCTGATTTGGGGGGCAGGTTCTAGGATTGCCTAGGCTCACCTTAACTTGCTAGGTAGCTGTGGAGGACTTTGAGCACCTGAATTTCTTGCCTCCACCTCGCAAGGGCTGGAACGACAAGAGCATGTTCCCACATCCAGCTTTGCTTCCTTTTATTTTGTGAGACAGGGTCTCATGTGGCTGGCCTGGAAGCACTGAATAGCTGAGGTCCACCTTGAACCCCTGACCCTCCTACCTCTGCCTCCCGAATGTTGCTTTCTTTCTTTTGGGCTTCCCATCTCTACACTTAATTGTGTTGAGATCTTGGGCCATCAGGGCTCACACTGAGCATGCTCTTGGCAAAGCTTGGTATGTATCAAAGAGATGAGCCTCATAACATAACCACATAACCTCTGTGGCTAATGGAGATGGCATTTCTTGGCATTAACATGGCTGGTTTTTATGCCAAAAAGCTGGCTCCTCCAGTAAAAACAAACAATAGGACCACATAGTTCTAGCTTGTCAATGTAGTTTTGGAAGGTATTTGTTTTATAAAGATTATATCATCAGGACTCTATGAACCAAGACTCACAGGCTTTAAATTAAGAAATCATGCCAGGCTGGGTGGTGGTGGTGCATGCCTTTAATCTCAGCACTCGAAAGGCAGAGGCAGGAGGATCTCTGAGTTCGAGGTCAGCCTGGTCTACAGAATGAGTTCCAGGTCAGCCAGGGGTACACAGAAAAACCCTGTCTTGAAAGGAAAAAAGCAAGCAAGCAAGAAAGAAAGAAAGAAAGAAAGAAAGAAACAAACAAACAAACCATGCATGCCAGGTGATGATGACACACACCTTTAATCCCAGCACTCAAAGGCAGAGGCAGATGGATCTCTGAGTTCAAGGTCAGCCAGGTCTACAAAGCGAGTTCCAGGACAGCCACGGCTACACAGAGAAACCCTGTCTCAAAAAACCAAAAGAAAGAAATCACACTGGGATGGGGGAGGGTTGGTGCTAGAGAGATGGTTCAGCTGTTAAGAGCACTTACTGCTCTTGCAGAGGATCCAGGTTCAGTTCCCAGTGCCCACATAGTGGCTGCCTTAGTTAGGGTTTCCATTGCTGTAAGAGACATCATGACTACGGCAACTCTTATAAAGGAAAAACATTTAATTCAGGTGGCTTACATTTTCAGAAGTTTAGTCTATTATCATCGTGGTGGGACATGATGGGTGTGGTTGGCAGCATGGAAGCAGATGTGGTGCTGGTTACGTCTTGATCAGAAGGCAACAGGAAGTGGTCTGAGACACTGGGTGCAGCTTGAGCATATATGAGATCTCAAAGCCCACCTCCACAGTGACACACTTCCTCCAACAAGGCCACATCTCCTAATAGTGTCACTCCCTGAGCTTATGGGGGCCAATTACATTCAAACTACTATAGTGGCTCATAACCATCTGTGTGTAACTCTAGATCTAAAGCATTCAATGCTCTCTTCTGACCTCCACAGGTTCCTGCATGCATAGAGTACACATATATACATCCAGGCACATACATATTTACATAAAACAATCTTAACTTTTTCCTTTATTTTGTGGATGTGTGTGTTTTGTCTGCACATATGTCTGTGCATTACTTCCATGTTTGGTGCCTATGGAGGCCGGAAGAGGGTTTTGGATCCTCTGGGACTGGAGTTACAGATGGTTGTGAGCTACCATGTGGGTGATGGGAATCAAACCTGGGTCCTCTGGAAGAGAGAAGCAGCCAGTGCTCTTAACTTCTAAGCCACCTCCAGCACACACACACACACACACACACACACACACACACACACACACACACAGTGAGAGAGAGTTTGTTTTTGTTTATGTTTTTCAAGACAGTGTTTTTCTATGTAGCTTTGGAGCCTGTCCTGGAACTCACTCTGTAGACCATGCTGTTCTTGAACTCACAGAGATCCGCCTGTCTCTGCCTCTCAAGTACTGGGATTAAAGGTATGTACCACAACTGCCTGAACCAATAAATAATTTTTAAAAATTAAAAATATCAGCCGAGGGCTGGGTGTGGTATGCCCAGGCTGTCCTTGAACTCACAGAGATCCGCCTGCCTCTGCCTCCCGAGTGCTGGGATTAAAAGTGTGCACCACCACCACCCAGCTGAGCCAGAATTATATAGTGAAACCTTGTCTCAAAAAAAAAAAAAAAAGGCCAGGCGGTGGTGGCACACACCTTTAATCCTTCTCTGCTAATCCTTCTATGTCAAGGAGTTTTAGTTATCTTTCCCAAGCCTATGATCTGACCTGGTGTGACCTCTATGTCATCCAGGCCTCCACCCTCACTCCCGAGAAGCAAGGTTGAATTCAGGCAGCAGCGAGACCATATGCAGACCAAACCCACCTAGTGGACAATACAGTCCCTGTGGGTGACATGGCCGTGCCAGCTACAGTACCAAACTGGGACTACCAGCCAGGTCAAAATGGCCGCCAGAGGAAGGACCTCATAGTCTGCTGCCTCCTTCAGAGTATAGAAATGTCTTGGACAAAGTTGTTAATTTTGATAAACTCTGAGAGATTACACAGTGAGCTGACAAAAATCTGGCCATTTCTCTACATCAATTACAAGAGACCATGGTCCAATGTACTTGCCTTGACTCAGACTCCCTGGCGGGAGTCATGGTCTTAGCCGCCCCTTTCCTTCTCAGTCAGCACCAAACAGAAAGAAATTAAAAAGGACTGACAAGGGTCCCCAAATGCCCATACAGGAAACCTTTTAAAGTTTTTAATGCCCAAGAGGAGGCAGCTGAGTCTTCCAGACAGGCCTGGCTGCAACAGAAGGCTACACTCCAAGCCCACGCCTTGGCAGCTGCCCTGAGGCCATTGGTGTCCCTATAAGGAGGACAAGGGAAGTCGACGAGGCTCCATCCTGCTGGAGCTCAGTCTGAGTCAACTCTGCCAGGAGCCTGCTTCAAATGCAGCCAGGAAGGCCAGTGGTCCTGGTGCTGCCTCGACCCTCAGCTGTCACCGAGGCTGTGCCCTGTCTGCCAGCAGCCTGGACACTGGAAATTGGAATGCCCCCACGGGGGCTCATCCTCTATGCCATACCTCAGAGGTCCAGCCTCATGGACACTGGCATCTGAGACTCTTCCAGCCTTTGAACTCCTCAGCCTGGTGGAGCACTGACACCACCCAGACTTGGAGACTCCATCACCCTTGCTGAGCCTAGGGTAACGCTCCAGGTAGCAGGTAAGTCCATCACTTTTCTGGTGGGCACAGGAGCTACCTATTCTGTCTTTATCTCTCACTCAGGTCCCATAATTCCCTCACCAATTTCTGTCATGGGGTGGATGGGAACCCTTTATTTCTGCCTAAGACCCTGACACTTCCCTGCATTTTTTTTTGCACAATCTTAAATGGTCTTATAATAAAAACCCAGAGACAAATATTGGGGTAAATGCTGAAAGATCAGAGAGACAAGGGAACAAGCCACAGCCACTTCTCACCTCGCCAACTCCACGAATCCTCTGACTGAATGCCCCTTGAGTCCTCAGCTGAAAGGGCCTAATTCCTGTCTTCTCCCACCTTATATTCTTTCCCTGCCCAGTCATATCACTTCCTGTTTCAACCTTCCCAGTGCTGGGAATAAAGGTGTGTGCCACCACTGCTTGGCTGTTTCACTTTTAGACTGGAATAAACTCATGTAGCCCTGTGTGGCCTTGAATTCACGGAAATACACACTTATCTCTGCCTCTGCCTCCCAAGTGCTAGGATTAAAGGTGTGTGTCACCACTGCCTGATCTCTATGCCTACCTCTGTGGCTGGTTCTGTCCTCTGATCTTCAGGCAAGCTTTATTTCTTAGATTATAAATATATCACCACATTTCCCCTTTTTTGTCTAAAATAATAAAAGAAGGTTATAACTAATATAAGAAAAACTATAGACAATAAATACAATAACTATATACAATATATACAGTCAAGAATTACATTAATAAGCCAGGTGGTAGTGGCACATGCCTTTAATCCCAGAGCCAGGCAGATCTCTGTGAGTTCGAGTCCAGCCTGGTCTACAGAGTGAGATTCAGGACAGGCACTAAAACTACACAGAGAAACCCTGTCTCGGGGCGGGGGGGGGGGGGGCGGGCGGCGGAGAATTACATTAATAATGTCCAGTCCATTAACAATTGACAAATTCAGAGAAAATACTCACTTATTTATCATATTTTGGTGAGTCGAAAGTGTTGTACCTAATTCATTTTCTATCCTAACTTGTATTACCTACCAAAAACTATCTTTAGGTATCTTTCAAACTTATACACTTTACACCTCTTTAGTGAGTTTCTTTTCTGAATTTGTTAACAAGGAAAACTATAACTATCTTCTAGTCTTCAAATCCATCAGAGACCTAAGAAGGAAATAATATTACCTGAGTAAATAGGAAATGCAGAGCAAACAACTTCCAAAAAATGTGAAAAATGACAGAAACAGCTGACTACCTGGACAGTCACCCAAAGTTTCTCTGCAACATTGGAGCATCCATTTTCAGCCTAGAGGCCTAGCGTATCTGACAGACTTTTCTATGAAGCAGAATTTTCTGAAGGGCCTTCCTACATTATCTTGGCAAGGTTTGGCAGTCCTTTGTGTCCTGCTTGTCCATTTTGGACAGCATATTGTCAGCAGTCAAAGCAAGAGTACTTTCTTGCCCAGTGGCTAACTTTTGCCACAAAGAAAGTAAACTCCATATGGAGTTTCTTTGATGCCCATCATCTTCTCTGAAGTATATTGGTGCTGCCAGGAGCAGACATGACTCCTTGCCATACAAAAAGAATCTATGTTATTAAAACACCTTAAATGCCATATTCTGTAGATCTCTGAAGTGTTTGAAGATGACCTGTCTATCTAAAATATATCTCTGTTTGACCTTGAAAACATACATAATCTGACTACAAGTTCGATTGTAGTAGGTGACTAACTACTAACCTGCATTTCTATATTATCCTAAATAGTTTATAATAATAACTTTCAAGGACTAACAATTTGCATTGCATCATTAAATGAATTGTATAGGTACAATACCTTGAACAAGATTAGAAATATATGTACAGAATGTTCTAACAAAAATAATCTCAACTTTGTATCAATACACACAATTTGTATACAATATACAAAAATCCAATCCAATGTAAAATATTTAAAACTAGTAGATTCAGTAATCTACCTTTTTTTTTTTTTTTTTTTTGGTTTTTCGAGACAGGGTTTCTCTGTGTAGCTTTGCGCCTTTCCTGGGACTCACTTGGTAGCCCAGGCTGGCCTCGAACTCACAGAGATCCGCCTGGCTCTGCCTCCCGAGTGCTGGGATTAAAGGCGTGCGCCACCACCGCCCGGCCTGTAATCTACCTTTTTATCTTATCATATCCATAGCCTCCTTTTTTTCTTTTTTTTTTTTTTGTTTTTCGAGACAGGGTTTCTCTGTGTAGCTTTGCGCCTTTTCCTGGATCTCGCTCTGTAGACCAGGCTGGCCTCGAACTCACAAAGATCCACCTGCCTCTGCCTCCCGAGTGCTGGGATTAAAGGTGTGCGCCACCACCGCCCGTCTTTCTTTTTTTTCAAACAAGAACCCTGAGTCTAATCTCCTTTGTTTAGCTTCTTTTCTTGACCATTACCAATAACAATTTGTAATCAACCACCAAAACAATGACAACTATCCATAATTAAATGACCCAAAACCACCCACCCTATCTCTTGGGAATGTGGGTATCGTGTTCTTAAAATTACTTCCTGCTGTCTGGGGGTGATGGCATCTTTAAGGGATCCTGAAAAGAAAATTTGGGTTAATTGTCAAGTCCTGGGAGAGGTAGCTGTATCATTTGTTGTCCAATCTCTGCATAATGGGAAAGTGCAGGGATTGTCTCAGGTCCTGGCTAGAGTAGTCTGTGAGGCTGGATCATTTCAGTTAGCCATCTGGAAATTGTCCTAAGCACTTTGTAGTCCTAAGCCGATCTTTGAGTGGTGTTTGTCAGCTTAGTGGTGTTATCATAGCCCTGATGGAATCATCGTTGTGGGCCCCCATGATCTTTTTGGAGACTTCAAAGGTTGCTGTTAGATGTGGTCATGGTTCACTGCAGAAAACTGATAGAGACTCAAACCTGAAATCATATACAAGAAGTTAGATGAAGCCTTTTTTTTTAAAGAATTAGTTAGTACTCTATATAACCATTAATATGATGAGAAAAGTTTTAAATATATATATATTAATCATAAATTTTGACATAAAATTCATACCTTAAAAAAGTTTTAAAGAGTTAAAATAAAACCAAAGGATCATGAGATTAGTAGCAATAGAATAGTCTCTTAATTTTGGTTTTTCTTCTGTCTCATATCAGGTGGCTCGTCTAACATGATACAGAGATTTTGCATTTTCCTTTAACAAGCATGCTTAGATTTAGAGAAGGAGAGAGCCGTACAAACTCCAAATCCAGCTTTAATTTTTTTGTTGTTGTTTTTTGTTTTTTCAAGACAGGGTTTCTCTGTGTAGCTTTGGTGCCTGTCCTGGAGCTCATTCTGTAGACCAGGCTGGCCTCAAAATCACAGAGATCTACTTGGCTCTGCCTCTCAAGTGCTGGGACTAAAGGCTTGCACCACTGTCGCCTGGCCCTGCTTTAATTTTTTATTGAACTGGGACCACATAAAAACCATTTGCATTATGTTTCTGTAGAGAACAGCAGAAACAAACAGGAAGATTTATGAAATTTTATCCTGTTAAATATGTGATATACCAATAGGCCAATTTACTCTTTTTCTTGGGACTTTTTTTTGGGTGATTTGTCCTTTTTCTTCAGATGTTTCATTTGTCCAATGTTCTTCAGATTCCTTACCCTTCATTCTCCTGAAAAAACAAACAAACAAAACCTTCCCCAACCCTAACTTTGGGGAAGTTCCCAATCTAATCTTTATCAGTTTTGATTTATAGTTTCTTCTGACTTTTTGTTCTCTCTTCTATAGCTGTTCTATCATCTAGAGCTGTATGGTTTCTTACAATAGGCATTAGACCCTCTAATTGCTCTGGGAAGGGGTTTCCTCCATGATGACAGAAAAGGACTGAATGGAATGTAACATGAGGGTCTGTGAGAGGCCCCTCAGGACATTTCCTGTCAGCAAAGGCAAGGGATTACCTTGTCTGTCCCTTGTTGATCTGCATTCATTAGTCCAAAAACTGCCTTTGCCACACCTTCTGCATAATCCAGAAGGGAGGGGCGTTCTGTTGGGATTATTTCTTCAAAAAAAAATTGTTTCTAGGAATGCTCTGTTTACAGTCCCTTTTTAGGTGACATTGTTTACTGCAATTGAAACAGTTGACTATACTATTTTTCTTCAAACCTCTGGAAATCACCCCTTCTATCCAAGCATCATCATGGTCAGGATATTCAATACTGATTGTATCTCAGATCCATTCCTCCAAGGGTGCTGATCTTGCCTTTAATGGCCTAATTACCCTTTTGCATTGTACACTGGCATTTTCAAAGGCCAGAGATTTAATTATTATCTGTCTAGCTTCTGAATTTGGTATCATTCTATTTACTACTTCAGTCTTTCTAAGAAATCAGTGAAGGTTCCTTTTGGGCCCTGTATACCTTTAGTAAATGACTCAATTTTCTTTTCTACTTCTTCTTTTTTTTAAATTTATTTATTTTTATTTTATGTGCATTGGCATTTTGCCTGCATGTAGGTCTGTGTGAGGGTGTCAGATTTTGGAGTTATAGACAGTTGTTAGTTGGCATGTGGGTGCTGGGAATTGAACCCGAGTCCTCTAGAAGAGTAGTAAGTGCTCTTAACCACTGAGCCATCTCTCCAGCCCCCTTTCTACTTCTTTAGTTCTGTCCCAAGCATTCAAGACTGCTATGGGGCATAAAGCCAGGGTGTGGTCATCGTATAAAGATTGTTTTGCTGGGTAGCGGTGGTGCATGCCTTTAATCCCAGCACTTGGGAGGCAGAGGCAGGCAGATCTCTGTGAGTTCGAGGCCAGCCTGGTCTACAGAGCAAGATCCAGGACAGGCACTAAAACTACACAGAGAAACCCTGTCTCGAAAAACCAAAAAAAAAAAAAAAAATTGTCTTTGTACATCAGCATAATCACCCTCCCCAAGAAACTGTTTTGGCAAATTTCAATACCTCTATTCCTACTTCATTATTCAATGGTTTTAGCCTCATCCTTCCACCCGATCCTCCATTGTAATTGGGGACCAGTCTCTAAGAATGTTATAACCAAATCTCTCCAGTCTGGAGGGATAATTCTATTAAAAGTTGATCACGAGTTTAACATCTGCTTCACAAACATTGAGGGCATGCCATATGAGACTATTGCTTCTTTGAGTTTCCTCAAATCTAACATTTGCACAGGAGTCCATTCAGCTCTTACACAGTCTTGGGGATATCTATCATTTGGTAGTTCCTGTAAGGTTACTGGATAAATTAAGGTTGGCTGTTTGAAAGCCTTAGGCTGTTTCTCTGTAACCTTATAATGCAATGCTGAAATTGGTTCTCCTTTAAATTCCTTTATCTGGCTGGGCAGCGGTGGCACACACCTTTAATCCTAGCACTGGAAGCAGAGCCAGGTGGATCTCTGTGAGCTTGAGGCCAGCCTGGTCTACAAAGCGAGATCCAGGGCAGGTACCAAAACTACACAGAGAAATCCTGTCTTGAAAAACCAAAAAAAAAAAAGAAAAAAAAGAAAAAAAAATCCTCTTTCTGGGTCTGAATATCTCTATTATCTGTTTTAATAAGTTTTTATCAAACTGATAATGTTTATAATTGACATTATGTCAAACCCATCTAAGTTAATTATCCTCTCATTTAATTGTTTCATTTTCAAACTGTCTAATGTATTATCAAACAGAGACCAACTCCTTCCATTGTAATAGTGTTTCCCATTCTTATTAATGTGGGAAAAAAAACTCCCTTTTAACTAATTTCTCCCTTTAAGAAATCCCAATTGACTCATCAAATCTGCTAACAATGACAGTGCAGATGATGGTGTGGCAGCCGCCTGAGGAGTGGTCCAGAGGAAGCCACGACCCACCAGGAAAGGGGAGAAGCCAAACAGCCAGCAGTCTACATGGGGGAACGTGAGAAAGCAGCTAATTCCCGCATGTTTGGAGCCTGGGCCTGGGTTTGTGCCTGTGGAGTCTGCCGTGTGCACAGAGGAGTGTGTGAAAGCAGCTACTCCTATGGGTTTTGGAGCCCAAAAACCTATGGCATTTGCTGCAGAGAGGATGCAACATAAACTTAGCCGGCAGGGTAGGGACTCTGGCCCAGGTGCCTCTCTGGCCTATGCCACAGTCAAGCAACTTTTTTGTGAATTCATGCCCCAAAAGTTGGACGCCAACTTTTTTTTTTTTTTTTTTGGTTTTGCGAGACAGGGTTTCTCTATTTAGTCTTTGCTGTCCTGGAACTTACTCTGTAGACCAGAACTCAGAGATCTACCTGCCTGTTTCCGAGCCCTGGGATTAAAGGCATGTGCCACCACTGCCTGGCACTTCCCTGCATTCTTGCAGGGCGATTCTTCTCAAACTCTTTTCTAGTCATACCCGCCTGCCCTGTACCTCTACTTAGTCGTAATATCCTCAGTTGCTTTGGGGCCACACTCACTTTGGCCCCCACACTCTCTCCTGCTTCCCATCTTCTCCCCTTAATAGCCTCACAGGTCCCTACCCCAGACTGTCCTATCCCTATCTATCTAGTAGATCCCCAAATATGCGTTGCTACTCACCACCATCCAGCCCTAGTTCTCCTTAAGAGTCCCTCCTTCTTCCCTTCCAGACCCCAGTTTCCTATTTCTAAAACCCATCACTGAGGCCTCAAGCCCATTATTACCCACCTTTTGTCTCAGGGTCTTTTAATTCCTATCAACTTACCCTGCAACACCTCCATTCTTTGAGTGCGTAAACCCTCTGATGCTTTCCGTTTAGTTTAAGACCTCTGCCTCATCAACAAAACAGTTATTCCAACACACCCAGTGGTTAACAACCCCTACAACCCCCTTTCTAACATTCCTCCTACCACTTCCCATTTTACTGTCCTGGATTTTTTTTTTTTAATTTATTTATTATGTATACAGTGCATATATCCCTGCAGGCCAGAAGAGGGCACCAGATCTCATTACAGGTGGTTGTGAGCCACCATATGGTTGCTGGGAATTGAACTCAGGACCTTTGGAAGAGCAGTCAGTGCTCTTAACCACTGAGCCATCTCTCCAGGCCTACTGTCCTGGATTTAAAAGACACTTTTTTTTTTTTTTTTTTTTTTTTTTTTTTTTTTTTACTGTCCCTCTAAACCTTGACTCATACCTCCTCTTTGCCTTCACCTTGGAGGACCTTGACACCCAGAAGACCTCCAAACAGCTTACATGGACTGTATTCCTCAGGGTTTCCGGGACAGCCCTCATTTCTTTGGCCAAGCCTTGGCCCAGGATCTTTCCACCTATGACCCTGGTCCTAGCACACTCCTCCAATACATAGATGACCTTCTTCTCTGCAATTCCTCCTGCCTCTTTCCCAACAGGCCCCCTTTTTGCTCCTGACCTACCTCTGCCCCCTGGGATACCATGTTTCCCCACCTAAGGCTCAGCTATGCATCCCCCCCCCCCCCCCCCCCCCCCCCCCCGTGGTGTATCTGGTATTCAACTCAACCCGGGGTCTAAGACTTTCACCTCTGACAGAGTCCGAGCCCTGTGGGATTTACAGCGCCCAACCACAGTGAGCCCTCTCTTTACTGAGGGATGCCCTTCTAACAGCCCCTGCCCTAGCTCTTCCAGACTCTACCTGACCACTGGGGTTCTAGTCCAACCAGTTGAACCTTCAAATCGGTCTGTTGCTTTTCTGTCCAAACACCTAGGAACACCCCCTCCACCCCCACCTCCCTTGTGTGGATGGCAGCTATGCCTAAGAGCCCTAGCAGCAGTGGCTGGGAAGCCCTCAAGATCACCCTGTTCCAGTCAATCACTGTATGTTCCACCCACTGCCTGTCAGACCTTCTGAATCATTCTTCTCTCTCCCTCCTTGGACCCTCACGGGTTCAGGTCTTTCATTTACTGTTTCTAGAAAACCCCCAAATTACCTTGGCCTCCAGCCCTGCCCTAAACCCTGCAACC